TACTGAAGTACACTGCTGAGGGGAGCAGCTGGCCGGTCAGAAGAGGTCTGCCACCCCATGTGGATCAGCTCCCTGGCGGGAAATCAAACTTGTGCTGCAGTGGCATCTAGAGCTTCATAACGCGGTGCTTTAATCCCTTGCGCCACCAGGGAGAGCCCAAGTCTGACTTTTAAGATGAATTTAAAGGCACTATTCAGTGCCTTCCCACTTGGAGGTGGAAACAGTGTCCATCTTTAGAAAATCCTGGTACAAGTGTTCGGTGCATATGATTCTACACAGACTAGTTTCAGTTTAAAAGTTGCACAAAATTCCATTTGAGTTTACTTTCTCCCCTACAGTCTGAATTTTAGACTTTAGTAATATGGGTGGAATGTTTTTATTATCCTTCAAGCTTATCTATGAATATAAATAACTAAATCTGATATAACCTGGAAACAGTTTTAAATAAAAGGAAGCTATGAAAATTCAGGGTATATACTGAGGGGCAAGATGAAAATCATGCTTAACTATTTGGAATTGGTATTATTGAAATAAACATGAAAATAACAGAATTAGAATGGAATCAAGTATAATACATAATTTAAAAAGGAGGATATTTGAACTGTAATTGAAAAAGTAGAGGTTATGTATAAGAGATTAAAGATCCGGCTATAGAATAGGATAATAAAGGATATAAAATAAATTATGAAAAAACTAGCACTATAAAGAATTAATAAATTAATTACACATGTCCAGGAAATGTGGTAGACTGGCCCTCCCTGGTGGCACAGCAGGTTAAAGTGCAGCACTGAGAAGCTGGCTGCAGCCCTGCTTTGCTGTGAGTTCGATCCACACTGGGGAGGTGACCCATATGGTGCAGCAGACCTCTCCTGACCTGCCTGCTGCTCCCCTCACTTTGTCATTCTGCTCCCCACTCTGGCTATGGTGAATCCTCTCATTGCCCCTGCACCTCTGGCCTGTACCCCAATTCTGTATGCATAAATAAATAAACCTTTAAAAAAAAGGAAATGTGGTAGAGTAAGTTAGGAAAATATCTCTTTAAAGTGGCACCAGGAACCAGTTGTTCACATTTAAGGGAATTATTGCTGTATTGGGTTTCATCTACCTCTCCATCTGATGCTTTCTGGTTGTTTTAACTTTCAGTTGATTCTTTTTCCAAGTTCTTTTGCCTTTCATTTTGGATGGGTTTTCCCTGGTGTTTTCTCAGTTTCATCACTTCTTCTAAGTGTCTCTACTCCAAATTTTTGTTTTGTGATTACCAGGACAGTTGTATAAAACTTTTTGTATCTACAGTAGCCTCTTATGCTAGTGTTCTAGCATGATGGTAACATAATCAACGGTAAGCATTCAAAAGCAGCAGTACTTACGATGGTACATTGATGACGGTTCTCAAGGCATTGAGCAAATCTGCACTTGTCATTGTGTTTATGTTCACTTCCACCGCAGCTCCTTTGGCTTTCATATGAGCAATGTTATCGGGCTGATCAGCAAACATGGGAACTCCCACCATAGGAACTCCATGATAAATAGCTTCATAGATGCCATTAGTTCCCCCATGAGTGATAAAAGCTTTTGCTTTGGGATGACCTAGTTAGGGAAATGGGTGAGGATTTCATTATAATACATTGATAGAATTTCAGGAAAAAAGAGGTCAATTCAATGAAGAAGTTGGCATCTTTTACAAAAACTGAGCACATGGGGGTACAGCTATTTCAGAAAACTGTGATTGCAAGTAAAGGATTAAATAATTCCCTCTGTATTGTCTGGAAGACTCCAGTGAGGTGGTATCTGAACTGAGATAGAAACTTGAAGAGTAGCAAGGTATAAGCAGAAGTGCTCTCTTGTGAATACCAATTCATTAACTCTGATTTAAAACGTTAAAGCTGCAATTAAAAAGTGAAAATTTAAAATTATTACACAACTTCCAAATATTCTTGCTGTTAAACAGTTACTTAGCTTTTCCATCATCCAATTGCACAGCTTTTTTTTGCCCTGTCTTACCAAGAAGATCATTCTGGGGTATCCAATCATAGAGCCGGGTATTGGCTCCTAATGTAGCAGGTTTCTTTCCTTTGTATCGCCATAAAACCTGTGGAAGACAATGCTTTAATTTTGCAAGTAAAATACCCAATTAAGGTATGTTCAGACTAGAGTTACTTATGAATCATGTACCCCAACACTACTAGGTGTGATAGTTGAGAAAAATATTTGCAAACACTGAAAGCTATCGGAATATTCACATCTACATTTTTCTTTTATTGTTTAAAGATTTCTTTATGCATACAGAACTGGGGTTCAGGTGACCATGTCGGTCACCTTTTAGGCTGGGTATCAAACTTGCACTGTAGTGGCTGGGGCTAGCTTTGCAGTGCTGCACTTTAACTGACTGCAGTAGTAGGAAGGACCCACATCTACATTTTTCAAAAGGGCTTGTGCTAATAATCAATGAAAGAGTGTTATTTTGACACTTGTCACTTACGTGCTTTTGGGAGTTGATTGTAAGTAAGAAATGCGAAATAAAGTATTCATTTAGTCAATCAGTGTATGGGTGTATAAAAGCTTTAAAATAAACACAAATATTATTTAGATGTATTTATGTAAGTAAATGATTCTTTCACATTCTAAATGACATTTCTTTCAAAAATACAATGAACTTTGCTTTAAGGGAGGATGAGATAAGGAATGAGTTTGCTTATATCCCACTATTTTTTTTTTTAAAGATTTATTTATTTTTGCATACAGAACTGGGGTATAGGCCAGAGGCTCAAGGGCGGTGAGAGGATTCACCAGAGACAGAGTGGGGAGCAGAACAGGCAGACTGACGAAGTACACTGCTGAGGGGAGCAGTGGGCGGGTCAGGAAAGGACTGCCGCGCCATGTGGTCACCTCTGGGGCAGGCAGGAATTGAACTCATGCGGAAGTGGCTTTAGCTTCTCAGTGCTGTGCTTTAACCTGCTGGGCCACCAGGGAGGGCCATATCCCACTATTTAATGCCACACAATGTTAGGCTATTAACCTTATGTTTTATATATATATATATATATATAGTGCTGCACTTCTGCACTTTAACTGACTGACATATGTATGTATTTCTTTGGGGGAATGCTGTAAGACAACTTTCAGACTAAAAATTAGCAGGTTGTGAACTTTTTTAACAAGAAGTTTATAAAAGAAAATCCAAAGTTTTACCAGGTCTAATTAGTACACTTTATCTTTGTGGAATTGCATGTACCATAAGTAATACACAGATACAAAGAATCCTAAGCTATCTAATCAATAGAAGTATATAAAATATAGAAATCCTGAATTGTAAGGACAATAAAATCAAAGTTAATGACTACCATAAATTAGAAAACTCATAGTTTGGAAAGAAATAATAGGATTTTTACTTTTAAAAGTAGAAAAATGCACTTCAGAAAGATTTTGTGTCTACTTTTAAACCAGTTGCACTCTGATAGAGGCTTAATAAAAATAGAGACATAATGCATCTTCCTGAGCATGGTTCTTTTCTAATCTCTAATCTTTCTCTCCCTTTCTGGAGAACTTTTGGGAGTGAGTGTTCATTATGGGTCACAAGACAGCAAACAGTAAAATGTTATTAGGATCTTGATATTTTTATCTTTATTTCATTGAAAATAAATGATTTCATAATAAAATGAACTTCTATAGTAATACAAAGTTCCAGTAGGCTTACAGTCAAATGTACCCCAGTACATAACTTTAATGTTTTGAGAAACTTTTACTTAGAGGTGGTGTCCATTATGCTCAGTCTATAATGAATTTCAAGTTTGATATGGAAAGAGTACTATTGCCTACAGTTTAACTTACAAAGTTAGTTACTGACCTTCTGTGGAATCTGGGCAAGGGCTGAGGCTATAAGATTGGCTTTTTCTTCTGTGAGGTTTTTGACCATTGATCCTAGAGAAAACACCACAACACCATCTTCACCTGAACTTTGTACAAAGTCTTCCATTTCCTACAGAGATAAAATGTTTTATTATAAAAATGAAGGATCACAGAGGGGAAAAAATGTTCTTCAAGAGAAAGTGTCAGAAACATTGCTACACTGGTTCTGCCCTCTTCCACATAGAACAATCTGGTTTATATAGAGGAAATACATCTCTGAGAACTATAACTTAACTCTATAATGAGAGTGCAAATAGAGGCATAGAAACAAGTGATGAATAGAAAATAAAAGAAAGTTCTTATGATACATGGAGCTATTACTCTGAAGGTTTGATTTTATGACCCTACAAAGATGTTTGTAAAGTCATAAAAATACTCCTCTGAAGAAGTCCATAAAAAACCTTATACCAATAAATCATTAGCAAATTGAATCAACTTCCTATTAGGTAGTCAAGATATTCTCTCATGTTCAGTTTTTTCCTTGATTAGTAGGATTAAAAATGAATTTCTAGGAAAGGGATCTCCAGGAATATGTTTTAAAAAATGATAGCATATTTAAATTACTGCTAGAGTCATTCATAGTAACATTTATGAGAGAATTCTCTGTTTTGCTGCAAGAGTATGACACTAGGCGCATGCCCATAGCATGTAAAATAAATATTTCCCTGAAAATAAACTTTTCATTTCACTTGCCATTGTGAAAGTTGGGCACAGCAAAGTCTGGGATAAATAGCTTTTAAGTCATAATCTATGTGTCACCTTCTAGAAATGTGTCACACATTTATCATGCCACTTCACTCCATTCTGTATCTTGAATATCAAAGTAAGGGTCTAAAAAGAAGTGATCTAATTTGCCAGAGACCCTTATGTCTTGGAAAAGGAAACTGAAGATACTCAGAAGCATATCTCTGTAACTGAACCTGTACACTTGAAGGAAAATTAGAATTTTCTTTTAAGGTACATTACCTTAGGTAATGGTTTTGCAGGTTTACAATGCAATCCTCCTACAAACTCAAAATTAGGTAAATATGGACGAGGAAATTCAAAATCCCAGTATGTTCGCATTAGCCAAATTTCTGCTTTCCCCATTATCTCACATAATGTAGTAGGTCTTCCTGGAGAAAATGAAGAAAATATGGTGGAAGCTATTAACATATGTTTACTGAGGGGAAAAATTGTACAAGTAATTTTTTGATAAGATATTAAGGAAAAAAATAAATGTAGACACCATCGATTCCTTATCACATCTAGATGTTAAAAAGAAGGGGGAATTAGGATCCTCCCTGGTGGCGCAGCAGGTTAAAGCACAGCACTAAGAAGCTGAAGCCACTTCTGCATGAGTTCGATTCCCACCAGGAGGTGACCACATGGCGCGGCAGACCTCTCCTGACCCACCCGCGGCTCCCCTCAGCCCGTGTACTTCGTCGATCTGCCTGTTCTGTTCCCCACGCTGTCTCTGGTGAATCCTCTCACCGCCCCTATGCCTCTGGCCTGTACCCCAGTTCTGTATGCACAAATAATCTTTTTTTACAAAAAGGGGGGGGGGAATTAGAGAAGGAAGGAAGGAGAGATGGAATGAAGGAGAATGGGAGGGAAGATAAGAAGACAGGAAGATGGGCAGACAGTAGGAGAAAAAGGGGATGTTTGGGTAGTGAAAGAACAGTTATAGATAGTTGTACTTTCACAAAAGTAAAGTCAATAAAACAATTTATAATTCCCAAAAGTGATAAATGTGATATTGTTTTCAACAAAACGGCATATTAAAGATTAGTCCCATCGTATTGGCACAACATAATCTCTCACTGGTTTTCCGATTTCTAGTCTATTTCCCCGTTTTTAAATTATTTTTACTTCATTTATATTGTCTAAGAATGCCACCACTATCAGTTGTCCTATCTTCCTGAGTCAAATCCCATCACATCGTTTGAATTGCTATTATTTTATTAGCAGGAATTTACTGAGTAATTTAAGTATAATTTCCTTTAGAAGGTGACATATCACCAAAATCACACACATGTTTTAGTGCTCTTTTAATGATATTTTTGTAAGGGATGTATTGTAAGTATTGATTTTAGGAAATTTATGGAGAAGTATTTATAAATGATTAAGTTGACTTTTTCACACAGACAAAACATGTTTTAAATTTTAGGGAAAAAAAAAAAACCTGAACAATAATCCCCCTTTCACAAGAGTGTGGTGCATTTTTTGTTGTTGTTTTGTTTTGCAACTGATGAACCTAGACTGATACATCATAATCACCAAAGTTCAGTTTATTTTAGCACTAACTCCTGGTGTTGTAGATTTTAGAGATTTAAACAAAGGTAAATTGACATGTATTCATCAGGCATCATAACAATATTTTCACTGCACTGTGTGTCCTCTATGTTCTGCCAATTTATTCCTCACCTCAGCTCATGTTTTGACCACCACTGATTTTTTTGTTTTTTACATAATTGTTTTTCTTTATGCTATAACGAGCGTTCTTAAGTAACAAGGCACAAATTTAAAATTAAGACTCTGAGTCATAAAGACTATGAGTGTAGAAATGTAGTGTAGTTTTAAAAATGTAACAAAGATTAAGAGCCTGAAACAGAATTGATCTTTAGTTTTTTTTTATCTCAGTTTGGAATAACTTAAATAAGGGCTGTAAACTGCAGCCTGACATATTCACAGAGCTCCTATTTTTGGAAATAAAAAGTTCCACATCCAATTACTGACATAATGTTTCTGGCTCTTTAGCTACCACAGCAGAGTAGTGGCAGCAAAGAAAATGTGACCCAACAAACTTAAAACATTTTCTATCTGACCCTTTACAGAAAATATTTGTTGCCTTTTGGCTTATACTTAAAAAAATTTAACTTACAGAAAAGCATTAATACTACACTGACATAAAAAATAAAGTGGACATGGATGGAGCTGGAAAACATCATGCTTAGTGAAATAAGGCAGAAAGAAAAGGAAAAATAGTGGATGATTTCACTCATAGCAGGAGTATAAAGGACCAGGGGAGAAAATAATAATAATAATGAACAGCTATATACCAGAGACATTTTGTGGGGGTGGGGTGGGGAATGGGATCAAAAACGGGGGGGGAGGGAAATACGTTGGACTATGGTGATGGCACATGGGTGGCTTGGTGATGGGAAACCCAAGGGTATTGCAACTAAGATGGAAAAATGCACAAAAATATGTAAAAATAAACTAATATAATAGTTATTTCAAGTTAAAAATTAAACAAAACAAAGTGGGATATGTTACTTTACAATTATAATTTTCATATTATTAATAAATGACCTTTCTGATACATGTTACATATTAAGGTGATTTTGAGTCCTAATAAAAAGGATATTGAATCATCTAAGTTCAGATGCATATTGGGCTGCCCTTCTTATTTTTTTTTTAAGATTGAGTTATTTATGCATAGAGAACTGGGGTACAGACCAGAGGTGCAGGGGCAGGGAGAAGATTCACCAGAGACAGAGTGGACAGTAGAACAGGCCGACTGACGAAGTACACTGCTGAGAGGAGCAGCAGGCAGGTTAGGAGAGGTCTGCTGCACCTTGTGGGTCACCTCCAGGGCAGGTGGGGATCCAACTCATGCGGGGCTTTAGCTTCTTAGTACTGTGCTTTAACCTGCTGCGCCACCAGGGAGGGCCTCCTACATTCTTTTAAAAATCAATTTATTTAATTTATTGTTTTGATCTCTCACAGGCTGTTATTTCCTTTTTTTTTTCCTAATTCCATTTGTTAAAGCTTTCAATATGATATTAATCTGAAGTTTCATTAAAAACACATGAAAGGCCCTCCCTCGTGTGTGCTCCTTCTTAGCACAGCACTAAGAAGCTAAAGCCACTTCAGCATAAGTTTGATTCTGGCCTGTACCGGAGGTGACCACATGGCGCGGCAGACCTCTCCTGACCCGCCCGCTGCTCCCCTCAGCAGTTGTACTTCGTGGATCTGCCTGTTCTGCTCCCCATTTTGTCTTTGGTGAATCTTGTCACCACCTCCTGCACCTCTGGCCTGTACCACAGTTCTGTATGCACAAATAAATAAATCTTAAGAAAAAAAAAAAGAACCAAAAAAAAACATGAGAGGTAAGAATGGCAGGACTCAGGTCCCAAAGGAGAATGTGATGGATTTGTATATAAGAATCACGACTCTCAAAACTTATAGAGCAAAATCCAAATAAAGTATAATATATATTAAATTTAATCCCATTGTTAATATAGCTCAGATTTCAGTTTATTACTGAAGTCAGGGAAAGAGATTTATACTTTTACAAAAAACATACTTTTAAGTAATGAGAGGTGAAATCTCTACTGTGAAATTCCAGTGTTATTTGTCATATCTTACATCTGACCAAAAATACATCTTTCACTGAATTTACATTAGTGCACTTTATGTTTTGTTTTGTTTTATGATAATTCTACTATGTATTAAGGTATTTCTAAATGGTTGGACACTGTGAGGAAAGTGAAACCAAGGGTAGAAATATTTTACCTTATCTTTCCAATTAGTTATTGATTGCAGTACATTTTTATCTCTTGGACAATTTTACTTGGAAATCAAAAATTTTGTAAAATATTGTTCTTTCATTTTTCCAGACTTTTCTTAAATCTTTTAAATTTCTTTTAATCATTAGCTAAAAATGATAAACAAAGTCTCTTACCTAATACTTCACTGTAAAGCTGGTTCCAAAGTCGATTATTTTGGAGCATCAAAAAGTCAAACATAACTGAAAACATTATATTTTTTACCCTTTCGAGAAAGGTCATTCTGTCCATTAGTCCCCCTGCAGCAACAGGCACATAGGAAGGTGGAGCTGGAAGTTTTCCACAGTGTTTCTCCATAACGTCACCCATAGAAGATCTTAGTGTATACACAAAAGGGACAGCCAGCAACTCAGCTATCAGCTCTCCACAGGGGATCACAGGGTCTATAACCATCACATCATAATGGGTTTCCTGGAGTTTCCTCATCATTGTCTGGTTGTAGACTACATTCTCACACAAACGTTTAGTCTCTCTAGTTATTTTAAGGAGAAATTCATGCAGTTTTATTGCTGATTGCCAACGTGATAAGTTTGGCAAGACTTGAGTAGATAGCACCAAAAATTCTTCCATCACTTTTAGACTATGCTCTTTGTCAGACGAAGCATGGATTACCTGGAAGTTCAGTGTGGAAGGCTTGTTGTAGTCAATGATAAAAGAGTGCGAAGGAACCAGCACGGTTATTTCATGACCTCTCTCTGTGAGTTTCTCCAGGATAGTCTTTATATTGAGCCAGTGGCTCATGTCACAAGGCCACACAAGGACCTTTCCACAGAATCCATAGCCAGTGCAGCAACATTGCAGCAGCAGAATTGTCAAAATCCATTTTTCCTTCACCATGGCAGCAGCTTCCTTACACACTGCTGTTCAGAGGCTAATTTCCTGACAATGAAGTGAGTGGCAATCTAGGTGAAGTTAAAAATTAACTTCTAGAGCTATAAACTTACATTTGCGTTCAAGGAACTTCATCATTAGTGATGAGTGGGCACAGTACTATCTGACAGTTCTCTAGGCAGAGATTTTAAATATTTAAATAGTTTCAAGTAAATGGTTGCAACATTCTAAGAGTTTTGTATTAAATATGTTAAAATAGAGAAAAAGCACATATTCTAAATGACTTTACAAATAATGTGAGAGTTCTAATGAGATACTGATTAAACCCATGAGCACTTGCATCTCAGAGTTATAAATCACTGTCCTATCATCCATTTATATTTCAATACAATTCCAATGCCAGTTTCTCTCTAATAATTTCATACTTCATACAATCAACAAGCAATTTTTAGCACTTAATTATGCCAGTCTTATGTTATGCACAGGACATAATAACTCATCTAGAAACAAGATACAGTTCTAATTCAAAATGAGTTCACCAATTATTGGAGAAAATATGTCATTTAACTAATGTAAGCAATGTAAGGGAGATGGCTCTTCATTGGTAAGGATGAATTAAGGAGGGACAAATTCCATGAAGGAGGTTGTTTGGTGGAGAAAGAGAATAATAAAATAATGTTTTATCTATGTTCTTTTTTTTAATAATATAACAGTTTATTTTTACATCATTT